AAATTCTCCCTTCCACGATGAGCTTTTTTGTCAAATGAAACGGAAGGGAGAAGACGAAACGAGTCGATGTAAATGCCTGAACCAACAATTCACAACAACAACATTGTATTGCAAGACGAAAGAGGCAAAGACAAAGGCTGCAGCAGTTGGCGCTTGGGCGCGCGAAATTGGAAGAGTTCAGCTCTCGTTTGGGATTGGTACGGACGGATTATTAGTTTTTTTTTTTTTTTTTTTTTTTTTCTGTTTACTTTCAGAAACGGCGTTCGCGTGCGTTGCACTTGCAGCAACAGTAACCGCCTTCGACCCCGTAATTGTTCATTTAAGGCTCACGGATATGGGTCAGTCGGGTCGGGTATGTTTCTTTGAGAGCCCATTTATGTTCCGGCCCATCTTCGTTTCATACCCCCCTTGACCTACAATGTGTTGAGATTTCAGTCGTCCCCCCATTAAATAGGTTACTATTTATATTTAAAATACATGAGAAATTAGCGTCAACTTCTTTTGCTCAACTTGTAATGTATATTTGTTGTAAATAAATATTGATCATGCGATTTGATTTTTTTTTTTTTATTTTATTTTCTTTACCGCTCTCATCCGGTCCGACCATAGAATTATTCTCAAATGAAATCATCAAATTCAAAACACGCGTGATATACTTCATTTTTACTAAATAATTTTAATGTATATAAAATATTTTATTTTTAGGTTAAAGTATAAATTTGATTCTCGAAATTTACAGAATTTTAAAATTTATAGTTTAATTATTATGGTATGATAATCTATTATAGTTTTTATTGCATGATAAAACCTTTATAAATTTTATTGACCATAAAAACTATTTATGACATCGTTAAATTAAATTTATAACAAAAATTATAGTTTACCATTTTTTTTCTTTTTTTGTATATGTTTAAATAATTTAATATATTATAAATGTCTTTAATCTTATAAATAATACTATATGCTATTATCTTTTTTTTTTTAATGCAAGTAGATAGAGTGCATTGGTTCTTCCATTAGAGATAAGATGTTTACATCAACCACATTTTTGTTTTTACATTTTTTAATCCCTATAGGCAAAATAAAAGTCAACTTGTTTGCTCGTTAATAGATTGTCAACTAAAAAAAATCATTTACAAATTTTTTTAATCACTAAAGTTAAAGAGATAAATGGTCTACGAGGATAATTAAATCATTTAAAAAAAATCAAGTATCCATAATTAAATGATAGGAAATAAGATGATGTATGTAAATGAGAATGCTCGAAAAAATAAATAACTCAAGAAATAACAACGAGAGTTATGTCTTCCACCTAGAGATGTCCATTTTACCCGTCACAACTCCAGCTCCGAATGGAAAGGGAATTATCGATTTAGAAGGAAATGGGGGAGAGAGTGGATAATATTTTTTCTCGTTAGATAAACGAGGGCAAAGAACATATTATATTCTCGTCACCACCCTGCCTTGCTTAATATATGTCTATATATTTTTTTGGATTATTAAAAAAAATAGTTAATTTTGAAATTTTAGTTCTAATATTTAAAAATAAATAGAAAATTTTGGTTAGTATTTGTTAAGGATATTTGGTATTAAATTAGAGTTTACAGTACATCGTATTTAATATTTTATTATAAGTCAAATATCTAAATATTTATTTTTTTACTTTTTAGCGTTATTTCCATTTATTACTATAGATAACTTCACATCATTTAGGTGCATAGATTGAGCAACATTCTAAATATTAGATACGAAATATATGATAGGGAATAGATTGAGCAACATTCTAAATATTAGATACGAAATATATGATAGGGAATAGATTGAGCAACATTCTAAATATTAGATACGAAATATATGATAGGGACAGAGACGGGGAAAATTTCTTGTCCCTACCTCCCCTCATAGTCATTTCTACTTTCACTATCATGCACAAAAAATTTCTCGATCTCCGTAGAAATCTCTGCCTATGCCACAACGCACCAGAGTCAATATCCAAACTAAGGAAACAACATAAACGAAAAAGACGAGAGACGAGCACTTAGTTCATCGGATCTGGTCTACATTCCATGATTGTGTTGTTTTGTTTCCGTATCAGTTTTTTCAACAACCCCAACAAGCAAGACGCACCATTACTCCACTACACAAGATCAAACCCACAGTCCCATAAAGAGATTCGCCAAGCCACGATGGATGATAAGTACTTGCAACTGAAGCAATCTATAAAGCCCAAAAGACATGGGCATTGGGGCATGGGCGCGCCAGGTGGGTTCCCCAATCTTGCCACATATCACAATCTTCTTTATTTGTTGGTTTCCCCATGCCTTTTTTTCCCCCCAATCTCTATTTTACAAAAAGGTGGCCACCCCCCCCCCCCCCCCCCCCCCCCCCCCCCCCCCCCCCCCCCCCCCCCCCCCCCCCCCCCCCCCCCCCCCCCCCCCCCCCCCCCCCCCCCCCCCCCCCCCCC